GCTCTACATTAATACCTTCACCTAAGGCAGTATACTCACATTGAGCAGTTATTTTTCAAACTGTGGAGTTAACTTGATCAAAAAAAGAAGCCTATAACATACTAATGAAATTTAAAAAGCTAAATCATGTTACGTTTTAACCCTTAAATTACACCATCCTCATAAGCTAGCTAACCGAAGACAAAGTAGAATTGTCAGTTCTCCCAAGATAAAAAAAAAATTCAAATTTGAAGATATAATGACAGATATATTTTAACAGTTTACTAGTATTGGATCCCAACAAAGCCAGAACCAAAAAAAGTGACCTTAACTGGAGAGGAAAAGGTAGGGGCCAAATTCTTTTCCTTATATAAAGTATATCTCTCCTAAGATACTTTCAGATGTCTTAAAATTCTTATGTAGAATCTTAGATTTCTATCATTCCTATACAACATTCTCAAATCTAGAAGTGTTCGTAGCCAGGCATGGTGACCCACTCCTGTAATTCCAGCACTCAGGAGGCTGAGGCAGGGGGATCACAGAGGGTTTGAGGCCAACCTGGACTACATAGGGAATTCAAAGCCAGCCTGAACTACATAGTAAGACCTTGTCTCCAAAAAATAATAATAATAATAGTAATAAATAAATGCATCAGAATTTCTCTTAAAGTAAAATTAAGTTAGTCAACTCCAGTGAGCCTTTGTTCAAATTTTTAACTTGCACAATTGCCAAAACATACAGGACTAAACTCGAGAGAAAAGACTAGGAGGCAAGAAAAGAAAGTGGGAAAAGACAGAGGTGCTGTGAAAACATTCAGAGAGCGAGGACGACCTCCTGGGGGCAGCAAGAATGTGAGACCCCCTCCTTAACTTCAAGCAAGTTCAACGTCAGACCTCCCCCACTGGGAACAACACGGAGGAGGCCTGCACAGTGTAATTTATTGCAACGTCCCAGGGTGTACAACGCAGGAAACGAGAAGAAAGAGAGCCGTGAACTGGACCAGAAGTTTAACGAAGGAGACACGGTTTAAACTAGAGCCTGAAGTTCAAGTGGGATGGGCTGAATAAGCCCGGGAAATCGGGGGAAGGCACAAGCCAAGAGCAGCAGACATCGGCCTTAAAAGGGAACAGGGTATCATGTCTCGGCCAGGAGAAAAAACAAAGACCTGCTTGTAACTAAAGGATTTTTTTTTTAAAGGAAATGCTTACATGTTTTTCAGTAGCTCATGGATTATTATGGTGTGGATTTAACATTTAACATTATTACCCTGTATTTTAAGGGATGGTAAATGGAAACAGAAAGGCGGTGTGTGTCGCCTGAGGCCACATAATTACTTGAAGAGCAGGCTGCGGCTCTTCCCACTCTGCCAGCCTCTCCTCGGGGGCGCCAGGGTGGACGCGCTGGGGAGAGAGCTTGTGAAAAGCGCTCCATCCGCCCGCACAGGCCCGAGTGTGCTGACAGGGATGACAACGCCGCCCCAAGAATGCTAATCATGTCACGGCGAGCCGCACGGGCCCCAGCTGGCAGAGAGAAGAGCCAACCAAAACCACTCAGAAGCTGGCCCAGCAATCCCGGCAGCAGTGGTGACAGCCTGGATGGGGTTGTTCCCGGGGACACTGGACAGAAAGGGACAAGTGTATCAGATGTGACCAAAAGTGACAAACTTGGTGACTTGCAGATGTAGGAAATGAGGGACAGGGAGCAAGTGTCAGCCAGGGAAGAACGGGTGCTACAGCTCCGCAACGTTGTCAGACTCAGCCCCTTCCGCACACCCTTGCGCTCCTCTTCGGCGGATTATTTTCTTCCCCGTGGGCCGTTTTCCACTCTCTCCTCTCTGCTTTTATTCACTCACACTTTGCAGGCCGACTGTGAGCTCTGAGACACAGCCCACAGCAACAGTAATAGGAAAAATATTATTAAACTCTTGTTCTACATCTGCCAGCCGCTGTTCCAAATACTTCCTGCTGATTGGCTCATCTGGGTCCCAGCGTTATCCTACGGGGTGGGAAAAATCCGCATGCCTATTTTTTGAGAAGGGAAAGGGGGAAGGCCACACAGTCCAGTGGTGTAAAGCCCTCAGTTTCAAGCTACAGTCTTCCCACTGGATTATGCTGCTACACTACTCTAAAAAGTCTTCGGGCGGTTTCCATGGTTACACGGCTTACAGCAAAGCCGTCCCAGAAGTTTCAGAAAAAATGTGTGATACAAGATTGCCTGTGGGTTTCAGATCACTGAGAAGACACAGACCTTATCAGCATCTTAGTTGTTCTAATTCCTCAGCTCTCTGCAAGGACGGAACCAGAACCATTAATTACACCCCTCTCGTGTACCGAGGTGTCCGAACCCCATTCTGCACCCTCAGAACCCTGCCCATGCCTCAGATGGAGCCTGGCTTACTCTATGTTATGACCCCTCATTTGTGGGGATTTTGTTCGCCGCTCTGGGAGAGCCACAAACTCCTTTTGAAGCAGGAACTATGCCACAGTCACCCGTACAAACCCAGGTCATGATGCCTGTGCTCAATAAAACCTGTTGAAGGAATGAATAAATTAATGAATATGAGCTATCTGTTCCAGCCAAACTGGTCCGCTTGGCGTCTCTACCTGCTTGGTATGTTCATGGTCCCCGCTTTCCAGAATTGTTCTCTCTCTGCTAATGCACACGCTGAAAACTCCTATCCTTTCCAAGACTCAGCTTAAATCCCACCTGCACCATGACTTCCTGCGAGGGGGTCGCATTCTGACACAGCCCTACTCGCCGCTCCCACAGAGCACGTTCAGCGTGATGAGAACTATGACCTCGGGAGCTGTGCTGCCTGATTCAAAACCAGGCTCCAGCACCGCCTGGCTGGCCCACTCTGGGAAAATTCCTCCAAACTTCGAAGTCTTTGGGTGTTTTTTTTTTTTTTTTCAGCTAAAAAATGAGGCAAATGATACCTACCTAGAGAATTTGGGGGAAGGACTGAAAGTAAACAATCTGAACACACCGCATCCCCACATCCCGCAGTCATTCACTATTTACAAAGCACTCAGGTTGACGGTCCATGTCATTTATCTTCGATTAGGTTCTCATGACTGGTAAAATCTGTAAGGACAGGAGCTGAACCTCACTCATCTGCCTTAAACACCAACCGAAGTGTTTTACACAGACACAATGAAAGCTGAGAACAATGAAACAACGGTCATTGTGCATTACGGCAACCAAGTGTAAACGGCGTCTTCTCTGGCTTCACATGATTGCAGCAGACCTCTCTGTACCACCTCTTAACTATCTGAAACTAGACTGGAAAATTTATATTTTCTATTGGGGGTGGGGAATTACAGGTTAATACTAAAACAAAACTAGTCAGAGTCAAACTTTGTGATGATTGCCAATAAAATCAGTCCAAAAATCCTTTTAAAGAAATTTTTCCTTCCAATTTTCACTAGTGTCAAGGTTCAGTATCCTCCCTGAACCTACTAGAATCTTTTTTTCTCTCCTGATTTATCATAGCCTTCTTTTACTGTATGTTTATCTCCATCGAGAATCAATTCTCAGGGTTGGTTTTTTTTTTTCCCCTCTTTTCACTACTGCCCCACTTACATGTGCTAACAAGTTGTGGGAGCTGCAATTGCTGGGTAGTAACCACCACGCTGACAATCTTCCCAGCCACATTCCTTTTCTCTGCAGAAACCTCTCTGTTACTTTCAGAAGCTAGAATATGCAGGTGCAAACTGAACTTGAAAAAGTAATTGCTAATGGATGAGCATGACCCAAATCTCTTCCTTTCAATGTTCTCATGCTTGTAAGTTATTTTTGTTTCATTTCTTTCCCAGTGGGGAACTTATTAAAAAAATGAGAGACATTCAGTTCTGCAAGATCAAATCCACCACAGCAGAGAATATATATATATATACATATATATACATTTTGGTAATAGAGTAAACCCCAAATCTAGGAGCCAAAGAACCAAGCTTTTAATCATAGTGATACTTTTTCCTAGAGATAACTAACAGGTGGCTACACCTACTGTTCATTTGTTTATTGAGAAACAGAGCCTGGTTTGGGAACATATGCACAAGTCTATTCATGGCTTTTGGAGCACGTACCACTCTCCAATCCAGCCTTATATTTTTGCAAATTTTTACTTGCAATCATAATTACATTGCAATTGTACCTGAATTCTCACCTTGTTTTCAATCAGAACTGAAGAGTAGTAGAAGTTAGTTCTTGACCTCTTGAAGTGAGAATTTCTGCATGATGGTCTTCACATAAACCTTAACTATGAGGAGCTTAAAAGTGCAAAGGAACTCAGAATAATTTCATGATTTCAGATTTTTTAACATTAAAAATAAGGACATTAAATTTGAAGATTTTTCAACCATTACTCACTTCTGTTTTCCTAGGCAAAATATTAATGTGCTCTCATTCTCCAAATAAATGACTCCTTACACACACATGCACGCATGCATGTGTGTGATTTCCCAAATTGTGCTTTTATGGTTTTTGCTTTCTATATATGGCAACACTTAGACACAAGTAAAACTGTTTAGCATATTTTTAGTTTCTTTTGGGTTTCAGTTTTGTACGAGAGTCTTCCTTTAGTATGATTCTGGTAGATTTTATGCCATTCACTGTTCCAATTAATTAAAGCTGTTGAAAACATCAATATGAAAACAAAATCTTATTGTAACCATATCTTATAGCTAAAATTTTTCCCCAAAGGTTGCAAACATTCTGTGGAGCCCCAATTTGTGCTGAGAAAAAGAGACTTTTAGAGTTGCTCAATGTTCTTCTAAAGGTACAAAGCATCGTGAAACATATGCTCATGCGAACTCCACCCGTTTCCAATTTCAACATTGCAAATCTCCTGTTTGTTCTTAGGGCAAATTCAAAAGCACATATTGGTATTGGTTATTACCGAAGATAATTTATGCAACCATGAGCCAAAGATGCTAAGTTGGCAAAACAAAACCACACAAGTAAGCAAACCCTAACTTCTGGGCGACACGCCCTCTCAGTATATAAGGGCCTGTCACTGTCCCTGGTAGCAGGCACTCCCTGAGCTCCACAGCACCACCATGTCTGTTCGGTACACCTCGAAGCAGTACTCTTCCTCCCGCAGTGGAGGTGGAGGTGGTGGGGGATCAGCCCACAGAATCTCCAGCAGCAAAGGATCTCTTGGCGGAGGATTTAGCTCAGGGGGGTTCAGCAGTAGTTCTTTCAGCCGTGGGAGCTCTGGTGGAGGCTGCTTTGGGGGCTCCTCCGGTGGCTATGGAGGATTAGGAGGAGGTTTTGGTGGAGGTAGCTTTGGTGGAGGCTATGGAGGTGGCAGCTTTGGTGGCGGCTATGGGGGAGGCAGCTTCGGAGGAGGCAGCTTCGGTGGCGGCAGCTTCGGTGGAGGTGGCTATGGTGGAGGTGGCTATGGTGGAGGCTTTGGTGGTGGATTTGGTGGCGATGGTGGCCTTCTCTCTGGAAATGAAAAAGTAACCATGCAGAATCTCAATGACCGCCTGGCTTCCTACCTGGACAAAGTTCGGGCTCTGGAAGAATCCAACTATGAGCTGGAAGGTAAAATCAAGGAGTGGTATGAAAAGCATGGTAACTCAGGCCGGGGAGAGCCTCGCGACTACAGCAAATACTATGGTCCCATTGATGACCTTAAAAATCAGGTAAGGAGCATTTTTAAATCCAACTTTACTTATATCCATGTAACACAGACAGTTAAATCTTAAATTAAGCATAATGTGGCTTATGTTGCTTTCCTGCTTCTAAATATAATCCAGTCTCATCAAAGATAAAAATTTCTGAAGGTATGCTCCTGGCAATCTTCACCCAGCATGTTTGTTGTCTTATGGGATGGTATACTACTGAGAATATCTTAAGTTTTTATGAAACTGTAGTTAAAATCTGCTAGATCCTTTACAAATGTAGGAATATGAAGATTAAATGAATAAGAGCAAAAGATTATTGAGATTAATAACAAGCTATATTCAGAGCCAAAATGCAAGAAACATGAATTCTCCATTACGGAAATGGGGTATTGTTCGCCTCTAGAAAACTGAATTGCACCTACCAGTCCATAGGATATATACCTGGGAGTATTTATTCAAATTAAACAAAGACAGGTGTGAGTCAGTCCAAAGCTGCCTAAAATACATGAAAATTACAAAGTGTAAAGGAGGGAATGGGAATACAGCTCAATAGTGGAGCATTTGCCTACCATGTGTGAGGCCCCAGGTTCAATTCCCAGCACTGCAAAAAAGGAGGGGGCACACTTGCCGAAATACACCCATGTAATTCCAGTTAGTTTTTGGAAAGGGATAGCACAGAACTAGAAGAGTATAGAAGTTTCAAGAGAATGATTCAAATTCAAGTGTATGGTTAAGCTTGTGGTATTTTATATTCTTAATAACCCCCACCCCAAACATGGAGGGGAACAACATAAAAATGAATTCATCTATGCTATTATAAAGCCATGTCAGCAGCAGACATCTTTTAAAATAATTTATCTCTCCCTCTAGATCCTCAACCTCACAACTGACAATGCCAATATCCTGCTTCAGATTGACAATGCCAGACTGGCAGCTGATGACTTCAGGCTGAAGTAAGCTAAGAGGATGTATTACAATACTATCACAGCAAATTCATTAGTCATCTTAAACAATGACTTTGGATATGCACAATAGTATTTACATTTTCCTGAACTTATCCACAATGAATTAGCATTGGAGTTGTCTGAGAAATTTCTAATTTCAATACTACCTTTCTGGCAATCTTCAAAGGAAGAAAATGCATTTTAAAATGACTGTTAACCTTCTCTGCATTAAACCACTAATATTCCTATGTGAATTAGCACATGATCAATGTTGCCTTGATATGAAATCAACTCCATGTGTTCTTTATGGACAGTCTCAATCCAGGTACACCTGGAATTTATTTGAGTCATGTTTACTTCAGGTATGAGAACGAAGTAGCCCTGCGCCAGAGCGTGGAGGCTGACATCAACGGGCTGCGCAGGGTGCTGGACGAGCTGACCCTCACCAAGTCTGACCTGGAGATGCAGATCGAGAGCCTGAGTGAAGAGCTGCAGTACCTGAAGAAGAATCACGAAGAGGTGACACAAAATTTTATCTCCCCCAGCGAGAGATATGTTCATTGTGGGCATGGTGGTGCTATCATTAAACCTTTTTGTCCCTCAAATAGGAAATGAAAGACCTTCAAAATGTGTCCACTGGTGATGTGAACGTGGAGATGAATGCTGCCCCGGGTGTTGATCTGACTGAACTTCTGAATAATATGAGAAGCCAGTATGAGCAACTTGCTGAACAAAACCGTAAGGATGCTGAAGCCTGGTTCAATGAAAAGGTAAGTTAACTATTCATAGTAAAGACCAGGGAAGTTTCATTATCATGTCAAAATTTTCTCATCTTTTCCCCTGTTTTTAATACTGTAGAGCAAAGAACTGACTACAGAAATTGATAGCAACATTGAACAAATGTCCAGCCATAAAACTGAAATTACTGAACTGAGACGCACCATTCAAGGTCTGGAGATCGAACTACAGTCCCAACTAGCCCTGGTAGGTCTTAAGTTTCATGTTCACGCAGAGTTGGGAATATGCAAGAAAAGAACCAACAGCACAGGTATAAAGGTGCTGGGATTGGATGTTGCCATTAAATATAAAATAAATTCTACTCATTTTCCTAATTCTTCCACATGATGTTTTAGAGCTAAGATCTCACTACACTCAACTGAAGGTCGCTAAGCAACAATAAATCCTCTTTTCAGAAACAATCGCTGGAAGCTTCCTTGGCAGAAACAGAAGGACGCTACTGTGTGCAGCTTTCGCAGATTCAGAGCCAGATCTCCGCCCTGGAAGAACAGCTGCAACAGATCCGAGCTGAAACTGAGTGCCAGAACGCTGAATACCAACAGCTCCTGGACATCAAGATCCGACTGGAGAATGAAATTCAAACCTACCGCAGCCTGCTAGAAGGAGAGGGAAGGTAAAGAGCAAAACTGAAAATTTATCCCAGTTGCTTTCTTTCCATATTCTAGACAGCAAAGCCTACCGAACCTCCAGAACATGCCAGCAAGTGAGGAGAAATGTGTGCCTGGTGGTGCTGGGTGTTTGACAGAGGAGGCAGAGTATAGAATAGAGTACCCAAAACAGGCTCAGGTTCTCAAAAATTGGGCCCAAGAATGAGTCTTTGAATTGATTATGTATATAAAAACTTTTTAAAGTTTTTACACAGGTTCTCAAAAATTGGGCCCAAGAATGAGTCTTTGAATTGATTATGTATATAAAAACTTTTTAAATGATGGTTTTACACATGGCAGAGTTGTATTTGCTGAAAACATGATTTATTTCCTAAAATAATATTCTAGGGAGTGAATCACGAACTCCCAATGCTAGCAATAACCTCATATAATCTACCTCTCCCTCCATCTGATTACAGCAGCAGCCATGGTGGGGGACGCGGAGGCGGAAGTTATGGTGGCAGCCATGGAGGCAGTTCCGGTGGTGGTCATGGAGGCAGTTCCGGTGGTGGCCATGGCGGCGGCAGCTATGGCGGCCATGGAGGCAGTTCCGGTGGTGGCCATGGAGGCAGTTCCGGTGGTGGCCACGGAGGCAGTTCCGGTGGCGGCCATGGCGGTGGCTACGGCGGCAGCAGCTCCAGCGGCGGCAGTCACGGCGGTAGCCACGGTGGCAGCCATGGAGGTGGCCATGGCGGCAGCTCTGGAGGAGGCCAGAGTGGAAGCGGAGGCTTCAAGTCCTCCTCTTCTGGATCCACTGGCGAATCATCTAAGGGACCAAGGTCAGGAGAAACTAGCTGGGGTAATCAGAATCAATTTTAACTTTCTCTGGTGGTATTGTTGCTTTCTAAATTATGCAGCTGCTTTAAAAATGAAAATCTTAAAAATGGTTTTCATTTGCTTCTTTAAACAATCTATATACTCTTTGATACCAGTCTTTACAGTAAAGTGGCCTGGTCTAAATGTTACCCACAGCGTCAGTAGTGTTTGGATTTTTTTTTTTTTTAAACAACAGGAGAAGGTTGAGGATTTTCTCCTTTTTGAGAAGTTTAATATATTTTTAATTAGCAAGAATCTCTAAAAGTAGCGTAATCTAAATTCTATTTTTTTTCCTTATTCACACAGATACTAACAAAGCCAGATTGATCAAGACAATTATTGAAGAGGTGACACCTGATGGTAGAGTGCTTTCATCTATGGTTGAATCAGAAACCAAGAAACACTACTATTGAGCTGCATCAAGAGCAAAGTCGCTCTTCACCTAGACCATTAGATGTAGTCATGAAAAATGAAATGTCCAAGAAAACACTCCTATCTTAATGGTCTACGAAAACAGGTTCACCCCTTGAAAATAAGGTGTCTAAAAGGTGTTTTTTGATTTCTGTATTTCTTCTTTTCACTTTACCAGAAAGTGTTCTTTCATGGGAAAAAAAAAACTTTCTTTTCTCATTTACTAATGAATTTCAATAAACTTTTCTTACTGATGCAAACTATCTAAATTTGTCAGAATTTTTCTTCCCTTGGGCTGGGGATTTAGCTCAGCGGCAAAGCACCTGCCTGGCAAGCGCAAGGTCGTGAGTTCAGTTCCCGGTACTGGAGAAAAACCCCAAAAAAAAAAATTTTTTTTCTTTCCTTAATATTGTGGGTATGCTCAAGTCAATATGAGAAATTTCAGTTTAAAAGTGTCCAAATCCCCAATCTTACACCTTCTAGAAGGTTATGATATGTGAGAAGCCCCCCCCCTCCAGCTCTCTGGCTTTAAATTATTTCAATCCTGGAAATTTTGAAATATCTCAAATAAGACCTCAAAAAATAAAATTGGGAATTCTGCAATTTTTTATTACTTGACTTTTCACATTTGCCTGCCCTTATTTTTTCCCCAGTTACTCTATTACTTCTTCCAAATTGTCACACGGCTTAAGAGATACCTTCCAACACAAACTCAGTAAAATCATATCACAGCCAACAAAATTACTTAGTGTCTGTTCAGGCAATGCTCTATGGCCAAGGGACATTGCTAGGTCTCTGCTTTCCCTCACCTTTTCCCACTGGTCAAAACTAAAGGCCTGGTATTTTCAAGGTCAACACAGTCTCCTCCTCAGCCAGTGAAACTCCTACTGACATTACTTACCATCTTACTGTGCTAAGGAGTCCTATGAGTGCAACAGGGAGAGGGCGCCGGTAACATGTGCCCTTAAGATTGTGTTCTGTGGTGGTTTCCTGGGTTACCCATCTCTGCTTTTCTCAATACCCTTCTTGATTTGAGTTCCAGTTTTGCCCAGAATCTGAGCCCTGATTCCCATGCCATTTGATCGGGACTCCCTCTACTGGGTAGACTCTACCCTCTAAAATTAATTATAAAAGGCATATTTCACAGGGAATGGGCTTCCCTACAGCCAAGTTTCCATAACCAACTTGGCATCAAACACTACCATAGCCAGAGACGCTCCACTTCAGTTCACATGCTTCTTCATATGTGCACACTTACTTGTACCGGCCTCCCTTCTTAGGACCAGTCTTCTCTGGTCCACTGAAGTCCCATATGCCCCACTGTAAAGCCCTGAAACAGATATTGTGTATATGGTGTTTACTGGCTGCTGTTCAGAAACAGTATCTTTCCAATTATCACCTAACGCAGTTGCCCAGGTCCTGGCAATCTATTGTATTGTTCATAACCTGAGATAGCTACTCTCCTTCTTTTAAAGAAAGAAACTTGTCATATCAGTAATGCTGATGTGAGACAAATACAAATGTGTCGTATAAATGTTTTGTCTCTTCTATATATTCTGCTCTCCTCACCTCAGCCAGGATTTCCACTGGTCAGAATTCTTTATCTGACTAAAATTTATCTGACTAGAGTTCCAAGGCATTACCCTAAGTGAATGAAGCCAAATTCAAATGGCTACATCTATCCCATTTATATGACATTCCAGAAAAGATCTAGGTGGAGAGCTAGAAAACATTAGAGGTTGCCAGAAAGAGGGAGATAAAATTACCACAAAGGGACACATGAGAACTTTCTTGAATGATGTAAATATTCTGTCTTGTTTCTGGGGCTTGTTATACAACTGAATTTGTCAAAGTTAATAGAACTGTATGCAACAAAAGGGTAAATTCTACTTTATGTACGTTAAACCTCAGTAAATATTTTTTAAATGTGAAAATAAAACATGATGACTAAACATTTAGCCTTTTATTTTCTGGTTAAATGTCATCAATTTCTACTGTTCTTTTCACACCAAAAGATAAAATTTGTACTCTAAAGACTGTATAGCATGAAAATGTCTTTATTTTTTTAAAAAGGACATAATTTTGTGGTACTGGGGATCAAATCCAGGGCCTCATACATTCTGGGCAAGCACTTTACCGCTAAGCTGCAACCCCCAACCCTTGTAATGATTTTAATGGTCATATTTCCTTAATCATATTTTTAATCTACAGAACTTAGGGATTAATTAAAGTTGAACCATAGTCTATCATCACACAAGACTTGTGTACCCTGTTATGAGAAAAATAAGATTAAAAAAACATAACACACAGTCTTTAAAACAAAACTTCCTCCTGGTTCTCCTGGAATTGTATGTTAGTAGTGGGTTTGGAAATGTGGGTGAGTAATGTTTGAACAACCAGGTTGTTTACTGTGGGGAGAGATAAAGGGAGTTGGAAGGTAATTGCTACTTGACAGAAAGCCAAAAGAAATATAAAGACTCACGGCCGTGACTCCTCTCGCTGAAGAATATCCTCGCCTTTCTAAGTCCCATGTAATTTCCCTGTCAAGGTTCTTCTTCAATAATAAATCCACCTTCCAAATCATCTCTTTGGAAAAAGAACAAAATAACACTCTCATTACATGCTGGTTACTCATTTTCTTTTACCTACTTTGCCCGCCCCCCCCCCGCATCTATCCATTGTCTTTCTGCCTTTTTTAGTAACTGGAACGGTTGTGAATTAATCCAACATCTGTCATAAACCTTGGCTTACAGTATGCATTAAGATATTTATTGATTGATCATCCATTCAGCAGGAAAATGGGAATAAAATAATGAATGAAGCACAACTGGTGGCTTCAGAGAACAAAGTTTTCAAGTAGTAGAAACACAACTTCTTGAACAACAGAGTAGAAAGGGCTACATAGAAATAAGTCCAGTGTGCCCTGAGAGCTTGTAAAGCCAGTGCTTCTTATACCACTGAGATTCTCCCTAACAACCTACACTTTTTGAATTGTCTGTAACATATCTACACACATATAAATTAAACTTCTTGTCATCTCACCTGGTTTTTCCTTATGTTTCTTCATCTGCCCTGTCAGTAGAGTTGATTGTTCTCTTCAAAACTGATGGCAAACCCCAAGATGAACGTCTCAGTGGAAATGTCATGCTTTACATTTGCTTATTTGAGGAAACTGTTAAGATGGGAGAAATGAATTACTGAAATCCAGTGGAATTCCACGCTGTTCTAATTAGGATAAAGGCATACAGATGGCTACAAGGCCCTAATGTATGTAATGTATGATAATTGAATATATATTCAATTAGTAGTCGGGGTTTGTAAGGGAATAGATTTAACACAAGACATATAATTTATAGGATTATTTTATAATAGTCACCCAAAAAGTCAAATGCAGAAGAGTGCTGGAGAGCTGTCCATTCACTAGAGACCCAAAGAATCCAGCTGAGGACCTGGATCCCATGTCAATGTCCTCCACAAGTCCAGCTGAAGACCTAGAGCCTACAGCACCGCCCTCCACAAGTCGAGCTGGAAGCCAAGAGCCCACAACAATGTCTCACGCAAATCTGTACCCAGGATCTGTGCTGGGAAGGCCGAAAGGCCAGTGGAGGAAGCTAGAAAGTCTGTGCCAGCGGGACAAAGGATCTGTACCATCTGCACTGGAGCCAGGAAGCCACGCTCAAGGTAAGGCCCAGAGTTCCCCCAAAAAGAACTGCAGCCGTCCTCAGGGACAGTGAGGACCCGAGTTCCTCTGACCATAAAAACAGCCAAGTTCGTATCAGGAAAGCCAGTGTCATAAGCTTCTCCAGGAGAATCAACAGTGCGCCATCTTCCCCTCCAGTTCTCCTTTCATGCTGTTGGTGATAATCCCCAGATGGGCCTTCCACACCCAGCGCCGCGCTGATTCAGTTCAGCTGAGTGTTACAAGGTGACCACTAGTTAATTCACCACATACCATACTCAAGGTACCGTGTTATATCATGAGGACATACCAAAGTAAGTCTTCATTCACGTCATCAAATGATGTAGAACAACTGCACTTTGCCTATGCACACAGATCTTTACAGTTCTCCAAATACTTACACCTCAGCATCAAAACAGACTTGGAACTCAGAAGTCCTTAATGACTTTCCCAAAGGTTCACAGAGCACAAGGAACATCACGAACCCAGGAGTTCTGGTTTTGAGCCTAGAGCTCTTTCCTTTATAGCAGTGATTGCTAGATATTTTTACTACAGATGACTAATCAATAGAAATATTTTAGCATGCGCTCCCAAGATGTATAGACTTATTTTAAGTGATATGTAATGTATTCATGTAGGTCTCTATAGCCCACATTTCCATGCACAATATATATTTAGCTCTAGAACAGTGGAAAATTCAGTAACAACTATGCAAAAAAATCCTTGTGTTTTTGCACAAACTAGTTTCCAGGCAGATCATTATAAACAGATTTTTTTTGTGCTCATGAATATCCCATAAGAAATTCAGAAATCGTGGGGAACACGGGACTGTTCTTTGTACAGGACTGCAGCAGGCATCTGTGGGTATCTGGCAGCCTCCAAAAGTCAGCAAGGACCTATCATGATGAATACACACTTTCAGAAGCACCCAAGGAGGCAGTCCTCCTCCTCCGACACTGAGAATTTGGTCTCCCTAAAATCGTTCTTCTCTTTGGATCTCTCAGCGGCTTTCCTTTCTGCACAGGAGGAAAGTCAAATCCCTCCGGTGACCCACTGAGTCTCTTCCCGGGCAGCCTCCCTTGGTAATTCCCCCCCGGCGAACTCCCCACCGGTCACACCTCTTCGGCGCTGTGTGGGCCCCACCCATGTGCGGTGACGTGGATGTGCGGTGAGGTTTGAGTGTTGGAATCCTGGTCCCCGGGGGAGAGGCGGGGCATGTGGAGAGGTAGGGACGAGGAGGGAGTGGGTGAGGTCCCCAGGGACAGGGTCTTGGGGAGGAGCCGAGTAGTTCGCAAGGGATCCTGCTGAGTTCCCCGGAAGGGTCGTGATGGAAGCAGGAGCGTCTCACGGGGTCTGGCTTTGTATCTCGCCTGGGATCTCTCCCGGGGCCTTCACAGGAAGTCCTCCCCAGAGCCACACAGAAGCCAGGGCGATGCCCTCGGATCTCCAGAACCCTGACCTAAAATAAGCCTGTCTTCCCAGTCAACTACTCCAGCTTGGGAACTTTGTGGTAGAAATGACACACACGTGGATGCGCCTCCTCAGGCCAAACGGAAATCATTTCCCCGTGTTTACAGTCTCTTCCCTCCCAGAATGACCCTCTGCTGCTTCACCCGCAGTTACTTTCTCACCTTTCTAGTATTTGCTGAATGTCATGTGTCCAGAAGGATCGTCCCAACCTAGACCGGGACCTCCTCTAATAGCTCCATGTCCTTTTCTTCCCTAACTTTCAAAACAATCTCTGACAGTACAGTTATTTACTGACGGTCCATCTCCCCACTAAACAGGAAGCCCTCAAGACTTGAGAAGGCGTCTGTCCTCCGCCTTCTCCGACACTTGCCAGCAGCACAGTGACTGGCACACAGTAGGTGCTCATTAAATGCTTCTTGGATGCATAAATGAATAAATGACATTTGGTGAACAGCATATCTGGAGACAGTATTTTTACTTCTCCGTTAACCCTAACTTTGGGAGAGAGTTTCATAAGAAATAGGTCTGTGCATTTCATCCAAGAGGAATTTTTTTGCACGGAGTAATGAAAGAGCCACCACACTGAGTCACAAGGCCCACTCTGGGCTTTGTGCCCCAGCTTGTGTTGTGCACCCTTGATCGTCTTTTCCTCCATTTCTTTATCTTTAAAAAGGCGGGGAGGGAAACCTCGCTCTTCTAATTCCCAGCTTTCTCACAAGGCCCAAATGAGGAAGCCTCTTTGGAAGCTGCATCCTGTCAGTGAAAGGCAATCTTGTTTTTATATTCATCACGCTCTGGACCCCCAGAAAGATAAATTCCGGCCTCGCTTTCTATCAGGAGTTTAAGCCGTTTCCCGAGGAGGTCACACACGGCCCAGGCTAAGGGTCCACCCCTAGCTTCTTTCATGTGAAGGCGAGCACTGCCCCCTGGTGGAAACAGAGTGGAGGACAAGTATGGCGGACAATGCTTTTTTATTTAATTGACAAAAATTGTGTATATCTATGGCATAGAGCATAATGTCAACAAACGCGTGCACACTCTGACTCTAACAAACCACACACCACTTTTCTCTGGTGAGGACACTTAAAATCTATTCTCTTAGCAATGTTCAAGTATGAAGTACATTTTTGTTCTCCTTTTTGCTGTAAAATGTTCCTGGGGAAACATTTACTTAAATATGAAAATGCGGACATGTCGCACCAATTAGTGGCCCAATTGTTATTTAATAATAATAATAATAAGTACTGCAAATGAATAATTCGTAATGAATAATAATAATAAGTAGTAACAATATTACTTGAAGAGGCGGGCCCTAGTGGGAGATGATTAGTTCACTGGGTACGTTCCCCTTGAAAAGGATTAATGTAGGTTTCGCGTGGGGGCCCCAGTTAGCTGTTGAAAGAATGGGCTGTGCTGAAGCAAGCCCACCCCGGCACTTGCCCCTGCTGCTGTGGTCATTTCCCTTCCCACTTCTCTGCCGTCCTGAGATAGAGGCAAGGCGCCCTCTCTAAACCCAGCCAGACACGTCCTGCACCTTCATCCGTCTCCCGCTCACACTCTTGCCTGTACCGTGGCCCTGCGAAGACTCAACCCAGCCTCCTCCTCAGACTGTCTGTGCCTCTGCTGTTACCTTCCCCGTTCCCTATGAAGGTAAGTCAGCTGCTGCAGTTGTCTCTCAAGAATACCAGAATCTTCGCTTGTACTTTTTCTTCCTTTCGAATCTATCTTAAAGTTCCCGAATCTACACAGTCTAATCACCATCCTCTCTGCCTGCACCACTATCACCTCCGAATACCCAGCTGGATGTCAATGCAAAGGACAGCCGGGCCTTTGGTTCTCCTTGACATCAATCCCTTTGCTCATTGCTAGGCTGTGATTTTCGCAGTGCATTCCTGCACACACTCACTCCTCCCATCAGTCATTTTCATCTCAGATGACCCTCCAGCTCCCACGTCCAGTTGATCCAAAGGTAAGCTCTGTCTCTTCCTGCCCCACCTCAGCTACTACTATAAATTAGCAGCCTCTGAAATCAGTTACCAATTGGTCATCACCAATTTGTCCTCCCTCCCCAGTACCAACCAGTGCCCACATGCTTGCAGCACCACACCCCCTCCATCCTCTGTCCTTCCCGCCTGGACTACTGGTCTACCCTGTCACTGGACTTCTTGCCTCACTTCAACCTGATCGTGTTCTCCGCCCTTCCCTTAGTACTGCACTCTCTCCGTCTCTTTAGACTACTACCCGGTCCGCCCCGGCTGGATCAGGAAATAGATTGCTGAAAGATTTTAATCCTATCTTTTCACTTCTGTATTTTTTTAGCACCAGATCTTTCGTTTTTCATCATTTGTGCTCAATAGACAGCACAGGACATAGCAGCTGTGCATTCTAAGTAAGACTACAACAATATTTGTGTCATTGTCCAAGATAATAAAGAGATGCAATCGTGGTAAGGACAGAGAGGTTACCGGGAATATATATCTTTAAAATAACACTTTGTTTCTGCTTTCATGGAATAAGATGTCTGTTTCTGTAGTTAATAAGCTTTTAAGTACCTTAGCAGTAATTGAGATCCTACTGTGGCCAATGGTGTCCTATCACAATCTTACCTCTTAGCACTTGATAACACCCTCACTGGATAATGATGGCAAATTCATAGGGTCCAGATGAAAGTAAAGGGTTACTCACTCAAAATTAGAAGTTAAATTAATGAACTTAACATAGAACAAGCCCTGTTTTATATAAGATAACAAATATCCTGAAGCAGTACCCAGGGATGTTAGGCATTCATTATTTTTTAAATCGCCCAATTATATGTAATTTCATGCTAATCTAAATGGTGCCATTTTTTCTTTTGGCATCTATAATTCACCGCGAAACACCCCCATAATTGTGTATAAAAGCTCAGCGAAACCCTCCATACGAGCTCGTTCTCCTGACATTTCTCTCCTCTGAGCATTTCTGGCAGCACCATGTCTCTCCGATTTTCCGGTGGATCTAGGCACCTTGGCTTACACCCCGGCGCGGGATCTGTTAGACCACCCAGTGGGGGCATTGGCTTCGTCAGGAGCACATGTGGAAACTCTGTCATTGGAAGTGGATTTTCCTGTGCCTTGGGAGGAGGAGCGGGCGGTGTTCCCGGTGGGATCCACGGCGGCGGGGCCCCTGGAAATGCCTGTGCTGGCTTTGCTGTGAGCGAGGGCGGCCTCCTCTCGGGGAACGAGAAGGTGACCATGCAGAACCTCAACGACCGCCTGGCCTCCTACCTGGACAATGTGCATGCGCTGGAGGCGGCCAACGCCGACCTGGAGAGAAAAATCAAGAGCTGGTATGAAAAATACGGCCCTGGATCTTGCCGTGGACTGGACCACGACTACAGCAGCTATCACCTAACAATCGAGGATCTCAAAGCGAAGGTGAGAAGTCACAGACTTGGGACCATTCCGGGTGTTAAAAGCCAAGACAGCCAGGGAAAGGTGTAGGACCACAACAGGAAATGCTGCGTGACTGTTATCTGTAGCTTGTATTTATGATTTATCTTCCTAAATAATTCTTCCCGTTGCTCAGAACAGACACCCGGATTCATGACTCAATGTAGCTGACGTGTTGGTAGTTCCATCACTTATTTTGAAATATATTAATGGACAAGAACATATTATATTTGAAGTTACATGATGATAGGAGAATAAATAAAACCTTTTGGGAGGAGGGGTTGAGACAGGGTCTTACTATGCCGTCCAAGCTGGCCTTAAACTCACTATGTAGCCCAGGCTGGCCTCGAACTTGCAGTGATCCTCCTGCTTCAGCCTCTCAAATGCTGCGATTACAGGCATGTGCCACCACACCTGACTCTAAAACCATTTAGTTTTTAGAAATTAAATTTTAACCATTTTGGTTATTACAGAAGGAAGTAGATTTTTACGCAAAGCTTCATTATACAACATTTTAATTTCCTGACATAATAGGTAATAACAGAAAACTTATTTGTTGTGGTCTCTCTCTGTACCCTCCAGATTATCTCATCAACTGCTGCTAACGCCAATGTCATTCTGCAGATTGATAATGCCAGATTGGCCGCTGATGACTTCCGGCTAAAGTAAGTGATGGAAAATGATTATGCTCCAGAAAAAGCTTTAACTGGTTCAACAAAATTTTGATTTCATCCCAAGAAGAATAAACTACAATTTAAAGGATGAAAGGAAGCAAAGGGTTCGAGTCATAATGCCACAGTCAGCTGTGCTTATCCTCCATGCATGCTCACTGGGCTTTAGAACAAGTAACGGTGTATCCCTCCGCCTGCTAGAACAGTGCCACCACAAAGCAGAGGAGCAGTCACAAGGCATCGACTAAGTAAAAACTGTCAACTATGATACAGTTCCAAATGGTATATTTCTATTTCCCTGGGATGTCTTGTTGGAATTGCTGTGATTAAATAACTGCAGGGTATCCTGAACAGAACCTGGGGACGGGAGGTTCTCTGTATGTTTTTTAGTCCGGTTCCCTTTCTAGCCTTCAGTTTAAACCAACTGAGATTCTCTGTGCCTGCTTTTGAAATAGTCTAACTTGCACTGAAATTCACTGAATGCCCACCCCGCCCCAGGTATGAAAACGAGCTCGCCCTGCACCAAAACGTAGAGGCCGACATCAATGGACTGCGGCGTGTCCTGGACGAGCTGACCCTGTGCAGGACCGACCAGGAGCTGCAGTTTGAGTCCCTGAGCGAGGAGGCGACCTACCTCAAGAAGAACCACGAGGAGGTAGGAGATGCTGAGCTGTCCATTAAGGAAACGCAAGGATTCTGTGCCCTGCAACTGCAGGAAGGGCGTAAAAGTACAACAGCCGTTCGTGCTCTATAACTTATTCATGCCGAGGGATGCTCAGAAAGAATTCCCTTTCTTCTCCTCTGCTTCCTAGTCCCAGGTTCCAAGGTAGTCAAGGTTAGCAATGGGATCTAGAACCTTCCATTTTTTAGGCTGATAGGATTTTATCCATTCGAAAATAATATGTAAGTTCTGCGTGAACACAACAGCTAGATTACATATTTCATCCATAGAAGGCCGTCTTGAGATCAGCGTTCTCACACGGGACCTTTCCAACTGGGAAAAGGGGTGACGCCTTTTTCCTCCCACTCTGGGAGCCCAGCTTTAGTTTAATGTTGAACACTGCACAATCACAAACCCATTCTTCGATGCTTCGTAGGAAGCTTCAATCTGCCCCAAATAGCTATTTCCAGATCGACCGATCGATAGGTAGATAGGATAATGGATGATTGATAGATGGATAGACAGCTCCACCTAAATGTATTTGTAAAAGTCCCAAACAGTGGGTGGCAATTTCCAGAGAACACCCTAAGACAAAACAAAACAAAAAAAAAAAATCACTATTGGTTTAAAAATGGCAGCAACACCAGTTGTCCCCCATGAGAACGTTAAAGGAAAGAAAAAGGAGGAAATCAGAGAAGAAAAAGGAAGGAGGGGAGGGAAGGGCACAGAACACAGTACTGGAGGAGTTAGACCCCACAGAGTGTTAGCAAGACAGGAAAGACGGGTCATGTGCTATAGAGTGACTTCCAAACAGAAAATCCCAGGCACTCTGGAGGCTGAGGCAGGAGGATCATGAGTTCCAACCCAATCTGGACAACTTAGTGACTTAATGAGACCTTGTCTCAAAAGTAAAAATAATAAAAGGACTGGGGAGATAGCTCAATTCAAAGGCCCTGGGTTCATCCCCAGGACGGAAGGAAGGAAGAAACATACCACCTGCAAGAGGAAAGCGCTACATGTCCTGAGTGTAAGAGCAAAAGGTCAGGCGCACCTCAGCATCCCGCAGGCATCCCAGCACCCACACCCCCTGTACCCTGGGATAACCTCAAACAACCCAACTTCCAAACTGGGACGCCAACAAGAATTTTCCTACCCATGGAATCTTATACCGAGCCACAAAGTACGGAAGTAGAAGTGGTTTGCTCGGGCGATGTCTGTCTTTGGCTCTTTGGACACTGGTAAAGCTCATCGACTGAGGGCCATGAAAAGAGAGTTGAAGAAAGCAGAGGTGGCAGTCCCGCCACAGCAGCTAAAACACAGAGGCTGGTGACCCAAAGAACCAAGTTCAGGACATTGGCTTGCCTATTTGTCAAGAAACCCATTCTGTGACCGGGTGGGGCAGATTGCTGACCTGACCCAGGGTGAAGCCTCACACAGGCTGCGGAGCACAGCGGGGGAATAGAGCCCGGGGAGGGAGCTGAGGCCACAGGCTCAAGCCCTCTCTGTTCGGTCCCAGTAGCTCGGGGATATCCTTCACCTTCCTGTGCCTCAGTCTCCCAAACCACACCTACCTCAAAAGAGACGCTGAAGGCCCGAGTCAGTGCAGATCGGGGTGCGTGAGGTGTCTCCCCACAATAACTGCTCATTAAACGCCCACTGCTGGCCCTGACATGTTCCGTCAGAGCCGGGGGTTTTGATTTTTTTTCTCTATTCTCACGCATCTGACGTTTAATCCGTAATTAAACCAGCTCCCTGGCCTTTGGAGCCAGAAAGCAACAAGAACACGGTCTGGGGTGGCTGTGACTCTTCGCAGTGGAGGTGCTGGCTGGGGTTTTTTTTAAGGAAGAAATAGCTAATCGAATAGGTGCTGGGGCCGACATGGGTCCAGGGGGTCGATTTTAAAAACTGGGGCGCATGCATTATTCACCGGAACTTTGGAAGATTAACGCCTCTGAAAGCGCAGGCTGCGTGTGGGGGTCTCCAAGAGTCCCAAGTCACACTCTCCTCCCCTGCAGGAAATGAAGGCCCTGCAGTGCGCGGCGGGGGGCAACGTGAACGTGGAGATGAACGCGGCCCCCGGCGTGGACCTCACGGTGCTGCTGAACAACATGCGGGCGGAGTATGAGGCGCTGGCGGAGCAGAACCGCAGGGACGCCGAGGCCTGGTTCAGCGAGAAGGTAAAGCTATGCGGGGCGGGGCGGGGCGGGGCGGGGCGTGCC